AAGAACATAGACACAAAAATTCTTAACACAGTATTTGATTGACTTTGCAAGCCTAAAGCCAAGAGTCTGAACATCTATTTAGAGGATTACAATACACAGTATAGTAACTATGGTAGATTTCCTACTGTCTTATGTTTAAAATCCAATATCAAGTGCTCATTGTTTTTGTTTTGTTGCATTTTGCTGTTCTATTTTATTCCCTTTAAAATAAAAAAATCGTAATACAACTGCTGACTATGATGCACCTGTGATCCCAGATATTCAGAAAAGGTAAAGCAAGAAGATTACAAGTTTGAGCCCTGCCTGGAAATATTAGCAAGATCCTATATCAAAATAAAATAAAAAGGGATGAGGATGTAAAACAAATTCTCAATACACCTTTGGCAATAGAATACAGCAAATCATCAAAGATCCAGCAGGTTTCAAGGATGGTTCAACACACATAAATCAGTAAATGTAATATACCATATAAAGAGAAGCATGGACAAAAAACACAATCATATCAGTAGATGCATAAAAAGCTTTTAACAAATCCAACACCTTTTCATGATAAAAAAAATACTCCTAAGAAAATGAGTATAGAAGGAGCTTATCTGAACCTGATAAAAGACATTCATGACAAACTAATGGCAAATATCATATTAAAAGGGAAAACCAAAAGGTTTCACTGTAAAAGCTGGAACAAGACAAGGATATCCACTATCACCATTTCTGTTCAAAATCATACTCAAAACAAAGCCAGAGAAATAGGTAAGAGAAAGCATAAAAGTAATAGGAAAGAAAGAAGCCCACTTATTATTTGAAGATGATGTTGTATTCTACACAGAAGACCCAAAAAATTCAGCAAAAGACTTGTAGCATTAACAGCCAAATTTAGCAATGTAGCACAATCCAAAATAAACACACCAAAATGGATAACATTCCTGTACACCAGCAATGCACTCACTGAAAAACCATCATTCACAATAGCAGAAAGAAAAATTAAATACCTAGGAAATAATCTGTCTAGGAAAGTGAAAAAAACTTCTACCAAAAAAACTACAGCGCTCTAACTACAGAGACACAAGAGTCTATCAGAAAATTGTGAAACGTTCCATGTTCCTATATAGGCAGAAGGAATACTGTCAAAATATGGCCATGTTTCTAAAACTGATAATACAGACAATGCAGTCTCAATCAAAATACCTACAGCATCCCTCACAGAACTAGAAAAAACAATCCTAAAACTCATACATAACCAGAAGAGACCCAGAGTAACAAAACTAATTCTGAGCAACGACAGAGAAGCAAGAGGCATCACAACACCTGACTTCAAGCTCTACTACAAAGCTGCAGCTCAGTAGAACAGAAAAGAGGATGGAGTAACATCCTGAGACACATTGAGCTATTTGATATTTGAGAAAGAGACTAAAATCTTGTTGGGGGGAAGATAGCCTCCTTAGAAAATGGTGCTAGGAAACTGGATATTCATATGCAGAAGATTGAAGCTGGACCCATGTCTCTTACCATGTACTAAACTAAAATCAAAATGTATCGGTGACCTAAATATTAAAAATAAACACTTAACTTACCAAAAGACAAAAATGTCATGTACCTGTGCCAACTGCCCACAATGAATGTAACAATTATATGTCACACACATAAGCTAAAAATAATAACAGTAATATGTGATAAATAACTTTATATGTAGTCTTATAAATAAATTAATCTGATGCTGGAAAAATAAAGGGGGTAGAAGAGGGTAAAAAGGACTTGAAACCTGTTATATATACATACCAACCCACTACAGTGAAGGTAACCATTAAATACTGAAAATCTGTACTAACAGAAGTAAAAAAAAATAGTAAAAATGAAAATGTGATCAGGGATCTAGAGATGGAAGGGGAGGAAAGTGAGAAGGAAAAAGAAAATAAGAATTAATACATGTTGAGTCCTTGTACCTACTCCTTAAAATAAATGTAAGTATCATATATTGCAAACATGTACTAATAAATAAAATGTCAATGTCTTAAACACTTTCTCATTGTTAGGATTTAAATATCCAACACCAACAAATTTACTTTGGTTCATGTTTCAGAAGTTTCGATCCGTGCTTATCAGGCTCAAACATAGAAACTACACTGTGTAAGAGTTCAGGTAGAATAAAGCTGCTATTCTCACAGAAGTCATAAATCAAAGAGAAAAAGTAGAAGCCCAGAAGGGGTACAACTCCCATAGCTTGCCTCCCCCAACCAATCTCTATCTTTGTAACGGTAAGTCAAATATAGTAGGCCTGTGGCTCAGTTCTCTCCCAAAAGCCCTGTATATGAACACATGAAGTTTGTGGGAGACACCTAAGCATAAACAATCACAGTGAAGAACTAACAGACTCTCACTTGAGTATGTTCTTCCTCACCCTAGACAGAACAGATAGGATTCTGTAGTAAATGATCTGGCAACCACTGCATAAATATTTCTAGAAATTCCATTCATATTGCAATTTTCTCACCAAATATAAGAGGCCAATACAAAATAACTTCAGCATACTCTGTTATTTTATTCTAATACTGGATGAGTTTGAAAGCCAGTCTCACAGGCACAGCAGTTCTCATGTGGCCTAGTATATGGTCTTCTTGGAGCCATTCTCACAGTACTTCAGTAACTGTGGCCAACACTCATGGATTCATAGTGTCTGAAGCAGAGAGTTTCATCAGGACTCCTCTCTACCAAATAACATAAGCTGAGAATTGCAAAGACATTCTAGGTATAAGTATTGTTAGTCAGGCCAATTTGCCCTTCCCATGAGCCAGCAGCAGCCATGCAGGGCCAGGAAGAAGCCAATTTACCCTTCTTGTAAGCCAGAAGCAGTCATGTGGGGCCAAGAAGAGAAACAAGAAGCCAATTCACCCATCCCATGAGCCAGCCAGTGTGTGGGCTGGGATACAAGAAGAGTGTCCCACCACCACCAGCAGAAGCAACTGACTGATTTGGAGGGTCACAGACTGAGTTGATAGCAACTTAAGTACAAAAACAACTTAATTCTTGTATCATTTGATTGACTTTGCAGGCCTAAAGCTGGTAATCTGAGCATCTATTTAAAGGATAACAATATGCAATATATATAGCCACTCTGGGGGAATTCCTTCTGTCTTATTTTTGAAATCCAGTATTGTTCTCACTGTTTTTTTGTTCCATTTTGTTATTTTGTTTTCTTCAATGTTCTGTTTTGATTGGTTTTATTCTGTTCTGTTTTGTTTTATTTTATTATGTCTGATGACAAGAGCAATAATTTTGAAGATAACAAGAGGCATTAAGGTAACCACTGTTCATTTCCTATTATCCTGTTTTTTTATTTTAAAGAGATCAAGGTAGAAGAGGACATAACAAAGCAGATCAGAACAGAACAAAATTAAGCAACACAGTATTTCAACACAAGACAACCCAATATGACAGTAGCTACCATAATGTCTCTTTCCTTGAAGCAGTTGAGCATACCCTCATACACAATAGTATCAAACAAAACAAAATAATATAAAACCATTCAAGAGGATGAAAGTATTACAGGTCATTCAGAACCAAATAACAGAAAACAGACTATGATTATTATCTCACTGTCCATAAAAAAATTGTTTATATTACCACCATAATAAAATCCATTAAGATACTACATGATAGAACTAATGGAAGCAGAAGTATAAAAGTATGGTAAAACTTCAAAACAAGATGATATTAAATTAGCACTGGCTATTATCATGTCTTGTTTTCTTCAAAATAGCTGTTCATACCCTATTATTCTGTTTTGAAATCTTGTACCACATTCACTGTTTTGTTTTGTTTTGCTTTGCTTTGCTTTGTTTTGTTTTGATTGGCTTTATCTGTTTTATTTTGTTTGGTTTTATTCTCTTTAAAGAAGAATTTTTAAAAAAGAGTTGTTAGTCATGGAGGTAGGTATATCTTATCTCTTAATTCTCTTCATCATGAAATTTTCTCAATGGACTTTGTAGAAGTGGGATGAAAAAGGAGCTAATATTTTTGAATAACAAATTAATAAGTGCCTGAGTTCTGCTCCTATTACAATGATACCTCAGTTCACAAACTCAGTTCTCACATGATTCTGGTCACAAACCAAACTGGACAACAAATAAATCAAGTTTCCCCATAAGGCCAACATTGAACCTAACCATTAAATTTCATTTGGTCCAACTCAGTTTGTGACCAGAATCTTGAAAAAAATCAAGCCATGAACCAAAGTGTCACTGCAATTTGATATGTACATTTGTGACCCCTTGAATGACTTAGGAAATCTTTGTGAGAAAGTTATTACTATTTTGTTCTCCTGTTCCTTTCCTGATCCTCCTTCTATTCCTTACTTTTCTTCTTCACTTGAGTGACAAGGAAATTAAGGCATAGATGTATTCAGTCACCTTCCTCAAGGCATCTACCTAGAAAGGAGCAAAACCATTTGATAGCTCCAGATTAAAAATCAAGTCTAGGTATATACCATAATAAATCAAGATCTCTACTGATTTCCTCTTAAATTTAATTCTAAGCATCTCATCCATGAAGAGCCTACATGCCAAGACTTTCTAAAATAATATGACCCAAAAACTGAAATAAAGACTCAGAAAAGTATTCTCTAGCTTAAGATAGACAGTCTTTCTTCTATTGGCAACAAGTGGAAAATCAACTTTAATTTCCTAGTCTTCCATGTTCAATTGGTTATGGTCTAAGTAATACATCATTCCATTTCCTTCCTTATCTGACTCCAGCTTGCACACTCTGTAAGTACTCTGTCATATATTTGATATATCCTCACTGCAGAACTTCCTTGACATTCCCTTAACTACAAAATTCCTCTTTTCCACTCTCTTGACACCTGTCATTTCTTCTTTCATGTTTATATTTTCCATTGGACAGAAAGGCCAGTCAGTGATCTTGCCCTTTGAGGGTGCTTGGTGACCCTCACAATGCTCTTCATGTTGTGACAATTGAACAGTTTGATATTGCTGTCACTGTTGCAGGTTTTGAGATCTGCCATGAAAGAGGAGCTGGAGGAAGCACAGAAAAAACTTTCTCTGTGTGATATGTTCCAGTCACCTAGCCTGTGTAAACGCATGTGGCTCATGTCCTTTGTGAGGTAAGTTTCACACACTGCCTATTAAAATAGTGGAGACAAGGGACTTCCAGGAGAACATGGTGGATAGATAGCAGCAGCTTCGGAGGCTCTCTGAGAAACCGCACTTAAAATCCAGGAATGGTGCTGGATGAGAAGTCCTAAGCAAAAGGAGATATACTTTGCTGACCCAGGAATGAACCATACTAAGAGAAACCAACTGGAAACTCAATCCCAGTGATATAACAGGAACTGATAAGGTCTCAGCATGGAAGCTGGACCCCGCGCCACTGGAAGCCACAATTTGAATTTCCTGCAGCCGCTGCTGCATCCCAATTGGCATGGCAAGGAGAGAGGTGTGAAAGCTCTGAGAGTGGGAAGCGGTGAATGGAGTTGAGAATGGGACTGGCCTGGAGCCCTGCATCGACTTGCAGTGAGTGAGCAGATCGGGCACCCTTCCATAGAGTAGGAGGCTTCAGAAAAGGACATACTGGGACCGGGCAGACTAGCCGGAACAGGATGCTGCAGTGACTTCAGCCACATATTCCCCTCTCAAGCAGGATTGGTGGGGAGTGCCTGGCTTGGGTGTCACCACTAACTGATACCCAGAAAGCTAGCCCAAACCAGGTCCCAGCGCCTGGAGGTGCACCCTAGCAGTGAAGCCTTCGGTAGGTTGACCTGGATGGGCAGGCTCAACATAGGCTGCCCAGGTCTGTGTCTCCCTAGTACACTGCAGTGGGTAGGAACACCTAGCCAGCACAATTCAAACAAACTGTAACCGACAAAGAAAGAAACTGGGCCTCCTAAATATGCTTGTATAAAAGGAACAAAAAATATGGGAAGAGGGAGCAACAAGAAAGGGTCCTCAGTCCCCAATCCTGAGAAACATGCAATATCAGACATGGCACAATTAGACATAAAGCGCTATCTCCAGAGCCTCATAGACGATTTCAGGAATGAAGTTATTAATGACTTGAAGCAAGATATAAGTAGAATAGTTAGAAAAATGCTAAGCACCGCCCAAGAAAAAACAGATGGTGGAATGGAAGAACAGAAAAAAAAGGGAGAATTGTTTGATGGAGAAAATAGAGAAAACATAGAATACGTGAAGCAGGTTCAAAGAGATTACCAAGAAACTAAAAACTCTATCGAAAACTGGAATAACAGCTTGAAAGAAACTAAGGATAGATTATCTGAACTAGAGGGCAGATTTGTAATGTGGGAGCATGAAATGAAAAACTTCTTAAAAATAACAAAAAAACAAACAGCAACAATACAAAGGCTAGAAGATGATAAGAGGATCTATAACTTAAGAATTAAGAACATAAAAAAAAAGAAGTAGGGACACTAACAAATGGACTACAAAAGCTATTCACAGAAATAATCCAAGAGAATTTCCCTAATTTAGCAACTGGTAAAGATACTCAGATGTATGAGGCATACAGGACTCCAGCCACCTACAACCCAAACAGAGCTACACCCAGGCATATAATAATCAAAATTCCAGAAATCCAATATAAGAACAGAATATTAAAAGCCATCAGAGACAAGAAACAGATCACTTACAAGGGAACACCCATCAGAATTACAGCAGACTTCTCGGCACAAACCATCAAATCGCGAAGAATGTGGGGGAAAATAATTCAAGCTTTGAAAGATAATAACCTCCAGCGAAGATTGATATATCCTGCACTGTCCCTAGAAATTGACGGAAAAACAAGGTTCTTCCAGGATAAAGAGGAACTAGGGGAATTTGCAACCACCAGTTCAACTCTACAGAGAATACTGCAGGATATTCTAAAAAAGGAAAATACCAACATTCCAGAAATAGTGACAGAGAGGCCACAATGAATGGAGCAGAAAGTGAAATGAAGAAGACAAACTGACAATAAATGACAGAAAAAGAGCTCAACAGAAATGAGGCAGAGAAGGGGCTGGGGATTTAGTTCAGTGGCATAAGTGCCTGCCTTGCAAGCAGGCAGTCGTGAGTTCGATCTCTGGTACCGATAAAAAGGAAAAAGACCAAAAAAAAAAGAAAAGAAAAGAAATGAGGCAGAGAAGGTTGGGTGGTAGGAACAGCTATTTTGGAGAAAACAAGACATCATAATAGCTAGTGCTGATTTAGTATCATCTTGTTTTGAAGTCCCATCAAACTTGTATTCTTCTGTCTCCAATGGTCTTAAAAGATTGTATCTTATTGGATTTTATTATATATGATGATATAAGCAAAAACTTTTATAGGCAAGGAGATTATACAGAAACCATTGTTCACTTTCTGTTAATTGGTTCTAAAAACCCTGTAATAATGTCATTCTCTTGAATGGTTTTATAGTGTCTTGATATGTTTGGTGCTACAGTATACGAAATTATACTCAAAGATTTCAAGGAAAGAGACACTATGGTAACTATTTTTATGTCAGGATATCTTGTGGTGAAACACTATTTTGCTTAAATGGTTATGTTTTGACCTGTGCTGTTCTGTTGTTATGCCCTCTTTTATCTCAATCTCCTTTTTTTTAATTATCTACTTTTTTATTTCTATCTTTTTAATTAAGGAAAAAATAAATTAATAAATAGCAGGATACATTATGGTAACCTACTTTGATTTCCTATTAACTTGATTTGAAATCCTGTATTACCCTCACCATCTTGTTTTGACTGATTTTCCCCTATTCTGCTTTGCTTGCTAGTACCAAGTTCGAAAGTATAGGCAAAACTGTGAAGACAATAAGATTCATTATGCCCATTCTGGTTGACTATTATCTTCTCTTAAAGTCCTGTAATGTCTCCAATGCTTTGGTTTTATTCTTTACTGTTTTGTTCAATTTTATTATAACTGGAAATTCTTCTTAAAATAGCAAGAGGCAGTATGGTAACCATTTTTGATCACCTTGTATTTGTTTTTACATTATCTATTATGTCCATTCTTTTGATTTGACTGACTCTGTTCTGATATGTCACATTTGGTTTTACTCTCTTCAAAAAAGTAATTATAACTGTGGGAGTAATAAAACCCAAAATGTATAATTGTCATTGTACAAAAGAAAAGAAAAGTGCTCTAAAGGTTATAACTTCATGTATGTTTGAGTGTATAGGATGGATAACCATACTGCTGAGTTTTTTTGGATCATTGAAAAGAACTGTTTGAAGTCTCACTGTTTGAAAGTCCACTTTATATGCTTTAATTTTGTAACTTGAACAACTATTTCTAAGATGAGAATATGTAATCTATTAACTAGTGATTTCTTACTGTTTACTTTTTAAATTTTGTATTACTTGTACCCTTTTTCTGTTTTTTTCTTTTTCTCCTTAAATAAAAAAATAGTGGAGACATGAAACTGTTATTTTAAAAGGTATAATTTGTGGTGGAAACCAGTTTGGGAACAAATGATGAGGAAGACAAACACAAATGCTAAGGCTTGAGGTAGTCAAACAGCTTTGAAAAAATTGATTGAACCAATTATACAGTGAGTTGCTCACATCATCTAGCCAGAATCTTCACCAGATTAATGTTGATAATGTTGATCATGGCATACACTTTGTTTCTACTTCAATAGAAGTAAATGATACATAACATGTAAATGATACATAACATAAATGTAAATAGCTGAGTGATTATTTATATATATATATATATATATATATATATATATATATATATAACTACAACCTTTAGTCAGATCACAATGTAGGAAAAACTCCAAACCTCTAAGATAACCTATCTGTAATGTGCATAACACCCCACACACACCCAAAATAAACTTAGCTAAAATTATGGCCTTTCCTTAATGTAACTATTTTATGATGATTATTAAATAATCATCTGCAAGAAAATATTCCACAAGACTAATATGGCTTTATATTTTAGCACCAACACTTGCCATCAGTACGATGTCATCTGTCTGACGTAAGCTCAAAACCCTCTGATATATCTTTCCTCTTTGTTCACTAAAGATTTGCAGTATGGATGCCCACTTTTGGCCTGATTCTCCACCTCCAGCAGCTTGGGGATAACATCTTCTTGTTGCAGTGTCTCGTTGGAATAGCCAACATCATAGCAATTTATATTACTTTTTGGACACTGAATCATTTTGGTCGTCGAATAAGTCAACTCTTTTTCATGTCTACAGTGGGAATCTTACTTCTGGCATTCATATTTGTGACGAAAGGTAAGGAAAGAGCACAGGGTAGAAAAAGAAATCTCTTATGACTGTTCCTCAGAGAATTGAAAATTGTGTGGAGGAATTAGTCCCCAAGATTCCCTGAAACCAACCTGGGTGTTTAGGGTTGAGTCTTCCATTAGGCTTCTGAGGAATGATCTGAAGGTCAGTCTCATTTGGCTCAGATGTGTGCTCAGTCTTCTGCACACTGTAAATCTGTAAACTGGTGCCATTTGTTCTCAAGTTTCTTTGGCTCAGAGGTCATCTGCTCCTTGACTAATCAGACTTCATAGAAAGTATGTAGATAAAAACTTGATAATTGTGTCTATGATGACTTATCATGACTGTCCCAACCCTGTCCAATTCTATCCAATTACTCCATCTTCAGTGACAATTTGTTCCTTGGACTCTATGTAGCTATCATGAAGCTGATTATTAGGTCACCACAAATGAAACTGTGCTCTAGGGAGTAATCTCAACCCAAGAAAATAAAAATCTCTTGCCTTTAAGTAGGAAAGAACTAGGCTGAGGATATAGTGCAGTGACAGTGTCTGATTGACAAGTGCAAGGTCCTGAGGTCAATTCCTGCTTTAAAAAAAAGAAGAAAAAGGAAAAAAATAAAAACAGAAAATAGCTATACAGTAGCAACAAAATATAGAACACAGAAGACTCTCTTAGAATCAGTTTTGTCAAACTGAATGAAAATATGAAATCAGTAGAGGAACCCAGGTGGTTCCCATGCCTCCCTGTGTTTCTTGAGTAGTAGCATGTTTTACAAAATCCCATACTAGCTGCCTTCACTTCCAGTGAATATCAATAATGATGCAACTTTGCTGCAATACAACAGAGACCACTGAAGTGTTTAGCGTTCTCATTAGCTTTTTGTGTAGCAGAAGACTAACTCATTCAATTTTCCTTCCACAGTTTCCAAAGTTTGACTTTTTCCTAGTACAAGTCCTTAAGTCCAGAGATATTATTCTAGATCAAGACATTTTCTAGCTTAGCTGTTAAGAAGAAACTCCTGTCATCTGACAACTCTCTTCAGCAATCAGGCCCTATGTCATTACTGTGTGTGGATCATGGCTCTGAACTCCTGGAGTACCTATATGAGTCTCACATCTCTCTATAACTGTCCATATGATAGTCCTTCACTCGGCATGAAAGATACAGCATACACAGTAGAAAAGAGGAAACTGAATTCCTTCTGAATTCATGATCCTTGCTCTTTCTTTGGAAACCTCAGAGAAGCAAGGAAATTGAATTAAATTATTCAGAACATTTTATTCATCATGAATCTAAATATGTAGATAAGTAACATTTCTATCTATTGGCCACAGTACAAGTTCAACCTTTGTGCAGTTTCTCCACCAGTAAGTGTATGTTTACACTTGTACATATCTCCAACAAGGATACTTTCCATTTGTGATTTGAGGGTTCTGACTCCTTCTGCTCAGATTTGCTGATTCTCCCTGGTTTTCCTTTCTCCAGAAATGCAGACTCCACGTTTCATTTTGACAATTTTGGGAACAGCATTTTCTGGCGCCTCTGTTACCAGTGCTCTTACCCATGCAAATGAACTACTCCCCACCATAATCAGGTAAAAAAAGCATCATGGTCTCCTGTGAAGGTCAAAATACTTTTTCCAGTTCATTGACTCTTAAGAAGGGAAGGAAGATGGGGATGAAGGGCCAGGGATTTATCTCAGTGCCACAAGTGCCTGCCTGGCTAGTGCAAGGTCATGAGTTCAATTCCCAGCACCAAAAAACAAAATATATGGGAATGAAAGCTATAAGGTGATTGAGATGATAACACTAATTATAACCAAAGCTTACTAAATGCTAGTTTTTTGACATGTACTTTTAAGACTGCTAATATATCAGCAATATACATTTCATGTATGTAAACTTCAGCCACCCAAAAGATAGGAACAATGAATAATAGTATTTTAAAATCATAAAATGGTGAGTTAATACGATATAAAATTGAGAGAAATTGCTGAAAATGAGATATTAATATCTCAAACATAAAAGCCAGGTGTGGTGGTACAACATGTTTCCCAGCACTCAGGAGGCTGAGGCAAGAGAATTAGTATGAGTTTGAGGCCAGCCTGGGCTACGTAGTTAGCTCAAGGCCAGCCTGAACTACAAAGCAAGACCTGTTTCAGAAAACAAAAAGTACTTTGTAAACCAGCATAAGTCTAAACCTACAAAAATAGGGAAGAAAATTTTTGCAACCCTTCCTCAGACTAATAGTTAAAATAATAAAGAATTCAAAATAATTAGACCTCCTCCAAACTAAAAACTCAAAAAAGTACAAGTGAAATGAATAGATATTTAGCAGAAGTACAGATGGTCAATAAATACTTGAAGAAATGCTTGACATCCTGGCCATTAAAGAAATGCAAATTAAAACAACACTAAAATTCCATCTTACCCCAGAAAGAATGGCTATCATCAAGAAATCTAATAATAACAAGTACTGAGGAAGCTTCAGGGTAAAAAGAACCCATCTACATTGTTAGTGGAAATGTAAACTAGCATAACCACCATGAAATCAATATGGAGATACTTCTAAAAACTAAGACTTGAAATTCCACTTGACCCAAATATTCCATTTCTTAAGAAATGGAGCAGAGAGAAAAGGAAAAGGGGATGAAAAAAGGAATGAAGGTGTGTTATATAAATGCACCAACTCCACAGAATAAATGTAAACATTATGTACTGTAAACACATATTGTTGTCTAAATATTAAGTTTATGTAGTATTCCTCATAATTAAAACAAAATAATGTCATAAATTCTACATGTACAGTTTCATAACTATTTTTGTATTGTTCTGTCTTTTCCCAGGGCAACAGTTTTAGGACTCAACGGAATTGCTGGTAGTATTGGGGCATCACTGGCTCCCCTGTTGATGGTCCTAGTGACATATTATCCACCCTTGCCCTGGATCATCTATGGTGTTTTTTCCATCCTTGCCGGCTTTGTCACCCTCCTTCTTCCTGAAACCAGGAATCAGCCTCTGCCAGACTCTATCCAAGACATAGAAAATAAGTGAGTGAACCCTCTCACTGTTCCTTGGGGGAGTTGTGACAACAGTCACATGACGATACACTGTTTAGGACCAGTGCATCTCAGGCATGCTTAGACCTAAATTCTTATGTAGTTAGTGCCTTTGGTTCAGGTATAGCTCATCTGTTTAAACAGTGACTTCAAATGTTCCCCTAGGCTCTGAAGACCACACAAACCAGCTCTGCCCAGCACACATCACTAGATTTCATGGTAAATAGGGGAAAATCAAGTCGCTTGTCTCCCTATCCTAGTGTGACACACACACTCCTGGAGGAGTTTCACAAACATTGCCGAGATACAAATGCCAAATATTATCATCCTACAGATTTTGACCCCCCCAGCTGGTGAGTCCTGGTAAGCTCCTGGCAGTGGCCAGTTCTGGAAGGCCTGAGTTCTGCCCTGGTCTGGTCACTGAGTAATATGGGAAGATCATGTGTAGAATGAGGGCCCCTCCCACAAGTGACCATTGATCTCAGGGAAAGGGTCTTTGTTGCTTAAGATTCTGACCACCCAGTTTGAGAATGAAATTGTTGAACAAAAACAAGACAAAGGGCTACAGAAAGTACCTTTTTAAGTGAGGAAGACTGGGGAATGAAGATAAATGAGAGAGAGAGAGGACAGAGACAGAGAAGAAGAGAGTTAATAGAGGTAGATGATATAGACAGGTGATGATAGATGTATACAATGTATACATAGACATGATATAGATTAGATATAGATTGATATGATAAAGATATACATAGATTATACATAGATATATAGATACAGACAAACAGATATAGACACATACAAACATGGATGAGATAGGTAGATATAGATAGATAGATAGATAGATAGATAGATAGATAGATAGATAGATCGACAGAGAGATATAACTTTTTCTGTTTACATTTGTTTGTTGGTTTCTTTGTATTTGTCCCAGGATACAAGATTCAAGAAGAGCAAAACTGGAAAATAACTTAATCAAAGTGACACGGTTTTAAGAAATTCAAGGAAATGAATGTTGATCAAAAAGCAAAATAAAGAAAAAAACTTGAACCTTTCCTAGAGACAAGAAAAATTTGGGAAAAAAATTTAAATAAAAGGAGAAAATGGAAAAATGGATCTATTTGTAATTGTGATATAATAACTAAGAATAAAATGTCTACAAATGATCATAATCTGAATACATAACGGTATAATGGTATACTCTGAATATATAATGGTATACTTAAAGGAGCTATATAGCAGTATTTATGCAATTGTAGATAACTAGCATATTTCTGTATGAGAAAACTCAATTATACTTACAACATTAGCTAAGTGTGAGACTGTGCACTTGTAGTCTCAGGGAGGTTGAGGTGTAAGGATCACTGGAATCTTGGAGTTTGAGACCAGCCTAGGTAACATGGCAAATACTCACCTCAAAAAATAAGACAAAAGACAGAATTGATTCTTTTCCAGATACATAGTAGAGTCATTGGAGAAATAATTGCATTGAAAAAGGTCATAAATTTCCAAGAACTAAACAAATGCTTCCTAATTTATATAGAACTTAATTATAAGCAAGATGGTTCATTGTATTTTAAAAAGAGAAAAGTAAACAAAAATAAAAATTGTGATAGAGTTTCAAAACAGGGTAAGAAATTAACAATGGTTAATTAACAATGGTTATATATATAAAACAGGATAAGAAATTAACAATGGGTAGGGACAGAAGTTAGCTCAGCAGCTCAAGCACCTGCCTGGCAAGCGCAAGGAGTTAAGTTTTATCCCTAGTACAGAGAAAAAAGTAATTAACAATGGTTAATATATTAACAATAGTTGTTGTCTTCAAAGTAGCTGTTCAGATTACAAGACACAGATGTGCAAAATTAACCAACCAACTTAAACAAAACCAAGAATGGGACTTGGGCTGGGCCCTGCCAGGGGAAGAACATGCAGAACTTGATTATCAGGTATGCAGATCAGACCAGTAATAGCTGAGGCACTTTCACATCAAAAGATATATATTAACAGACATAAGATGTATAAATATTAATGTTTAACTGCACAATAGTCAATAAATCACAAGAGGAAATGCACATGAACAGATGGATACATAAAGAAAATGTGAAGTACAGATATATGTACAAGAGAGTGATACTGAGCCATAAAGGAGAATAAATTTGAGCCATTTGTAGGAAAATGAATGCATCATAATGCTAAGTGAAATAAATTAGACATCAAAAGTTAAATATCACATGGTGTCTTTTACATGACAAACCTTAAAAATAAATAATTTAAAAATCATAGGAAACAGAAGTAGACTGCAAATAGGAAGAAGATTTAGGGAGAAAGAAAGAGGGAAAATGGGAAGTGAAGGGAAAACAAATGTATTTGTGCATCAACTCCCCATGAAAAGTCTAATCAGTATGTACTATAAATACATGCCAATAAATAAATTACTAATATTAAGATCATATTCTAAACAAAAAATCTACATGAATAAAAAGTTAAACAAATAAACCATAAGTTTCAATAGAAAACTTCGTTGCCAAATTTAGGATTTCAAAATGTTTCATTTTTAGTTTTTAAGGAATCTCTATATTGATTTTCATAGTGGCTGTACCACAGTTTACATTTCTACCAACAATGAAAAACGCTCCTTTTTCCCCACACTGCCTGGATAGTATTATTATTTGATTTCTAGATGACAATCATTCTTTCTGCAGTGAGACAGAATCTCAGTGTTGTTTTAATAATTTCTTTTTTTTTATACTGGAGATATAATTTGCAACCTTGCTCTTACCAGGAAGGCACTTATGCCATTAAGCTAATCCCATCCACCTTAGTATGCGTTTCTTTTTTAATTTTGTTTAAACAAAAAAAAACAGTAAAAGGGTACAAGTAATACAGAATTTCAACAAATAAACAGTAAGAAATCACTAGTTAATAGATTACATATTGTCATCTTAGAAATAGTTGTCCAAGATATAAAATTAAAGCATAAAAGTGAGCATTCAAACAGTGAGACTGCAAACAGTTGCGTTCAGTGATCCAACAAAAACTTAGTAATACGGTCATCTGTCTTACACACCTAAACACACTTGCAGTTTTACCTTTTAGAGCACTTTCTTTTCCTTTCTTTTTTATAATAACAATTACATTTTGGTTTTATTACTCCCACAGTTCTTATTACTTTTTTTAAGAGAATAAAACCAAATGTGACAAAACAAAGCAGAGTCAGTCAAAACAAAGGATGTACATAGTACATGATGTAAAAACAGAATACAAGGTAATCAACAATGGTTACCATAATGCCTCTTGCTACCTTAAAAAGAATTGCCTATATCATCAGGTATAATAAAATTGAACAAAACAGTACAGAACAAAACGAATAAAACCTAAACAATGGAGACATTACAGATAGTAGTCAAACCAGAATGGCCATCACAGTGAATCTTATTGCCTTCAAAGTAGTTGCCTATACCCTCAAACTTTATACTATCAAACAAAAAAAATAGAGTAAAATCAGTTAAAATAAGATGGTGAGAGCAATACAGGGCTTCAAATCAAGTTAATAGGAAATCAAAAAAGTTACTATAATATATCCTTCTAATTTTTTTAAATTTTTCCCTTAATTAAAAAAATAATAAATAAATTTTTTAAAAAGAGGGGAGATTGAGATAAAAGAGGACATAACAATACAGGTCAGAACAGAACAATTTAAGCAATATAGTTTTTCACCATAAGATAACTTAACTTAATAGTAGTTACCATAGTGTCTCTTTCCTCAAAATATTTGAGTACAACTCTGTATACTGTAGCATCAAACATATCAAGACAGTGTGAAACCATTCAATTGGATGAAAGTATTACAGGGTATTTAGAACCATCTAATGGAAAACGAACAATAGGAGCTGGGGATTTAGCTCAGCGGCATTAAGTGCCTTCCTTGCAAGCAGGCAGTTGTGAGTTTGATCCCTGGTACCGATAAAAATGAAAAAGACAAAAAAAAAGTGGGAAAACGAACAATGGTTTCTATATCATCTCTTTGCCTACAAAAATTTTTGTTTATACTATCACATAAAATAAAATCCAATAAGATACAATATAATAAAACTAATGGAGACAAAAGAACAACAGTTTGATGGGACTTCAAAACAAGATGATATTAAATCAGCACTAGTTATTATGATGTCTTGTTTTCTTCAAAATAGCTGTTCATATCATCACAGACAATAAAATCAAACAGCTCAGAATAAAACTATTCCAATTAATGAGGGAAAACTATAAAAGGAAAACTTCAAAGCCATATAATGGGGAATCATGATTACCACATACTTTTATGTATTTATACCATTTCTTACACTAAGGAAACTATTCGGTATTCATACATGTGAGTTTGATTTATTTCACTTATGAGTATGGTCTCTAGCTGCGATTATTTATTTATAAATATCTCAATGTGATCCTTCTTTATAGCTGAGCAGTAACTCCACTGTATAAAAATACCACAACTTTTCTATCCATTCCTCAGTTGATGGACACTTAGGTTGTATCCAAGATCTGGCTATTACAAATGGTGATGCTATAAACATGGGAGCACATAAATCACTGTGGTATGATGCTTTCAGTTCTTCATACCACATGCCTAGAAGAATATGCCTAGAAGTGGAATAGCTGGAACAAATGGGACTTCCAATCCTAGCATTTTGAAAAATCTCCAGACAGACCTCCACAATGGTTGCACCAGTCTATACTTGCACCAGCAGTGCAGGAGAGTTCCTTTTTCTCCACAGCCTCTCAAGCATTTGTTGTTGTTGGTTTTCTTGATCCTGGCCATTCTTTCAGGAGTGAGATGGAATCTCAGTGTGGTTTTAATTTGCATTTCTCTAATGACCAATAATGATGAACATTTTTTCATGTATTTATTTGCCATTTGCATTTCTTCATCTGAGAAGTGTGTATTCATCTCAGATGCATCAATGGTGTGTTAAGGTCTCCTGTTATAATTGTGTTACTGATAATTTGGTTTTTCATTTCTGTTAATACTTGTATTATATAACTGAGTGCTCTGGAATTTGGTGCATATATATTTAATATAGCTATCGAAGTTTTCCCTTAACCAGTATGTAATGAACTTCTTTATCTCTCCTGATCATTATTGGTTTAAAGTTCACACTGTCTGCAAACAGAATAGGTACTCCTGCTTTTTGGGGGTTCCTGGTGCATGAAGTATTGTTTTCCATCTTTTGACTTTCAGTCCGTGAGTATCCTTTTGGGTTAGATGGGTTTCTTGTAGACAGCATAGGGTTAGATTTTGTTTCTTGACCCATTCTTCCAGTCTGTTTCTTTTAATTGGTGCATTGAGACCATTTACATTAATGGTTATAACTGTTATATGTTGGTTTATTGTTGACATGTTATCTTTCTGCTAATGCATCTTTATCTTTCTGTTCTGTTTAATTGTCTGCTTTTCTTAGTGGTTTTTTCCTAAGTGTATCTAAACTGTCTTTCTATATTCTTTGCAGGGTGGGCTTGGTGATCATGAAGTTCTTTTTTTTGTTTGTTTGTTTGTTTTGTCTTTTTCCTTTTTATTGGTACCGGGGATCAAACTCATGACTGCACACTGCAAGGCAGGTGCTTATTGTGCTGAGCTAAATCCCTAGCCCTGATCATGAAGTTCTTCAGCTGTTCTTTGTCACGGAACTATCTTATTTCTCCATCTGTTTTGAAGGACAGTTTTTCAGGGTACATCAGTCTAGGTTGGAAATCATTTTCCTTTAGGATCTCAGATACTTCACTCCATTCTCTTCTTGACTTTATTGTTTGTGCTGAGAAGTCTGCTGTGATTCTGATACGTTTTCCTTTATAAGTGATCTGTCTTTTCTTTCTGACAGCTTTTAATATTCTATTCTTATGTTGGATTTCTGGAGTGGTGATTATTATATGTCTGGGTATAGTTTTATTTTGATTATTACTATTTGGAATTCTATATGCTTCACTGATCTTGATGATGGTTTCCAATCTAATGTTTGGGAAATTTTCAGCTATTACTTCTCTAAATATCCTCTTAAAATCCTTTATGTTGTTCCCTTCTTTTTCATTTATCCCTATCAATCTTATGTTGTTTTTCTTTGTGTCATCTTGCAGTTGTTGAATTGTTATTTCTTGATTCCTTGTTATTTTTAAAAGATCTTTCCTTTCCTGTTCACTAGCTGCAATCTTGTCTTTGAGGTCTGAAATTCTATTTTCACTTTCATTGAGGTGGTTTTTACATCTTTCAATGGAATTTCTGATTTTCTATATATCTCTTTGCATCTGCTTTATGTATTCTATTTGTTTCTTATATTTTTCATCCAGGCATTCTATCATTTTGTTTAGTTCCTCCAATTTTTTTAACTGTATCTTCTTTAGATATGTTCAGTATCTCCTTCATTTCTTTTATCATTTCTTCTTTTACCTAGAAGATTATTTCTAGTTTGAATTCCTTTAGAGCTTCCTGGAGTTGCTTCTTTATTTCAGTTGCTATTATGTCTGATATTTCGTGTATGGCATATACTTTCTTCTATGTACATAGCTCCTAAGGCTTCTTGGGATGGGCTGGAGATTTGAGATTGTAATTTGGTTTTTCATTTTGCCATTTTCCTATATTTCTGTGTTTCAAGTGTTATTCCATGGCTTCCCCTGAGTCTGTTAGAAATCCTCTTCTATGCCTTCATCTCCTGGGACTCTGGCCATCCAGTTCCCAGGATTGAGAGAGGGTCACTGCGGGTGGGAAAGGCTGTTTCAAGACCCGCCAAGCTGGTCCAATGCAACAGGAAGGTTCCCTGTCCGGGGCCAAGCAAGGGTCCCAAACTAGCTGGGCTCGGGGGAAAGTGTAGGGGGTACTCACCCCAGGCTACCCAGCCTCTGGAATCAATGGCACCCACTTGCTTGCTTAGAACTTTAGAGCCCGCCAAGCTCAGCTGGGAATGGGGAGGCCGTTGCAGGCCTGCTCAGGACCCACCATGCTGGTCCAGTGCTAATATGCATTTCTTAAATGACCAGTAAGACTGAACTTTTTTTCATATGTTTATTGGCCATTTGTACTTCTTCATATGAGAACAGTCTATTCATTTCAGATGCTCATTTTATGATTGCGTCTTTAAGTTGGCAAGGTCTATTTTATTTTTAATTCTTTACGTATTCTAGATATTAGTCCTTTGAGGAGTAGCTGGCAAATTTTTAACCTATTCTGTAGGTTGACTCTTCATTAGTAGGTGTTTTCCTTCACTGTGCAAAAACTTTTTAATTTCATGCAATCCCATTTGTTGGGAGAACAGCCAAATACATATCAAGAAGCCAGCATGAGAAACCTCTCTTAGAGATTAAACAGCAAACATTTTCCCCTCTGGTTCCAGGAAATGATGCTCAAAGTGAAAATCAGAACTCCTCCAAAGTGAGCTGCAGCTATTCTCAGTGACAAGGTCCCAAGCTCCTCTGATAAAAGCCAAGTTCGTATATGGGAGCCAGCAAGACAAGCTCTTCCAGGAGAATCAATGGCTCCAAACAACACTTAGGAGAGCCCACAATGCTTCTCTCCTGCTCTCTAGGTCTCCTCTTTATGCTGGCAACAGTTCTCAGGTGAGCCATCCATGCTCAGTACTATGCTGATTCAGTTCAACTAGTGTTTAAGTTGACAACCAGTTACCAATGCACTACAAGTGTAAAATAAAATACAGACAATAGGAAATGGTTAAATGGATGTTTAGCATATGGGAAGAGAACTATGGGAGAGGAGAGGGAAGGGAAGAAAATGAGATTTTTTTAAAAGAGAATAAAAAGGAAAGATAAAGAAGAGACATGTACATGCACTGTGACCTTACAAGGTATGTGATCATCATGTATTACAAATATTTATATTTTAATTTTTTATTTCAAAAAGGATAAAACAAAACAAAACAAAGCATATCAGAACAGATCAACAGTGACTACCATAATGTCTCTAGTTTCCTTCAGAATAGTTGTCCATATCTTCACATACAATGAATTCAAACAAAACAAAATAGTATAAAACTGATCAGAAGAATGAAAACATTACAGGCCTTCAAAACCAGACAATAAGAAAATCAACAGTGGCTACCATAATGTATCTTATTCTTTTCAAAATAACTGTCCATAACTTCATATATATTGAAAGTAAACAGTACAAAACAAACTAAAACCATTCTAAACAAAGAATAAATTTATTACTGGATTTCACAGCATGATGATAGGAAATCAGCAATGGATACCATAATGTCTCTTATTCTTCAAAGTAGCTGTTCATATTTGAGAGGGAAAAAAAGTGCTCTAAAGGATACAACTGCAAGTGTGTTTAGGGGTGTTAAATAGCTGACCATATTAATGTTTTTGGTTGGATCATTGAACACAACTGTTTGCAGTCTCACTGTTTGAATGTCCACTTTGTATGCTTTGATACTATGCCTTGAGCAACTATCTCTAACATGATAATGTGTAATCTATTAACTGGTGATTTCTTACTGGGTTTTCTTTTGTAGTTTTGTATTACTTGTACCCTTACACTGCTTTGTTTTGGTTTTTTCTCTTTTTCCTTTTAAATAAAATTTTTAAAAAAACAAAGTAGCTGTTCATATCATCATGCATAATGCAATCAATTATTGTAAATTCTTTAGAAGTTCAAGTATGTTTAAGCCTCTACATATACATCTATCCTTTCTATAATAGAGGGAAAAACAAAACAAAACAAATTACTAGGAAAACAAGAAACAAAAAAAGACAAATGACAGTAACAAAATCCCAAAAAAATGACATTATAGGCTTTCAAAGCAAGGCATTAGGAACATAACAAAGGTTGTTATTTTACATAGTAATCTTCAAAACGGTTCCTCAGATCACCAGACACAAACATGGAAAGTTGATCCAATCCTATGAATATTAATTGTTTTGTGCCAAGAACTAATAGAATTTGTAGCACAATCATTTTAGCTATCTTAAGTGTATATACACAAATTTATAGATTTTTCCTTTTCCTTTTTCTTTTTTTTTTCTTTTCTTTTTTTTTTTTTATTTAAGAGGAAAAAGAGAAAAACACAAAACAAACCAAAGCAGCGTAAGGGTACACGCAATACAGAACTACAAAACAAAACAAAACAAACAAAACAAAACAAAAAAACATAACAGTAAGAAATCACCTGCTAGTAGATTACACACTATCTTCTTGAAAATAGTTCCTCAAATCACAGTATCAAAGAACACAAGGTGGACATTCAAACAGGGAGACTGCAAACAGCTGTGTTCAATGTTCCAAAAACATTGATAAAGTCAGCTATTTAACACCCCCAAACACACTTGCTGTTATATCCGTTAGAGCTCTTTTTCTTTTTTTTTCCCTCTCTTTTTTACAACAAAATTTACACATCTTGGATTTTATTACTCCTTAGTGCTTATTACTTTCTTTGGGGGGGGGGGGGAAGAATACAGTCAAATATGGCAAAACAAAGCTGTCAGTCAATACCAAGGATAGACATAGCACATGGTGTAGAACAGAGTACAAGTTTATCAACAATGGTTATCAACGTTTTCCCTTGTTTCCTTAAAAAGAATTGTCTATCTTATTAGATATTATAAAGTTGGACAAAACAGTAGAGAACAAGACCAATAAAACTTAGGCATTGTAAACATTACAGGACTTCCAAAGAAGACAATAGTCAAACCAGAATGGGTATCTTAGTGAATCTTATTGTCTTCAAAGTAGTTGCCTATGTCTTCAAACTTGATACTATCATATAGAATGGAACAGAGTCTAATCAGTCAAAACAAGATCATGGGAGTACTACAGGACTTCAAAACAAGTTAATAGGAAATCGAAAAGAGTTACTATTTATATATCCTAATTTTTTTGAATTTTTTCTTTAATTAAGACAAACATAAGAAATGAATAAATAATTTTTTTGAAACAAAAGGGGGAGATTGAGATAAAACAGGACATAACAATATAACAATAGAGGTCACAGCATGACCGTTTCAACAACCTAGTACTTCACCACCTTATAACCTGACTTAATAGTAGTTACCATAGTGTCTTTTTCCTTGAAATATTTGGATAAAACTTCATATACTCTAGCTTCAAATATTTTCATATCAAGAAGCCCAGAATAAAGCCTTTCTAATTAATGAGTGAAAACTTTATAAGGCTTCAAGGCCACCTAATGGGGAATCATGATTACCACATATTTTTATATATTTGAATCATTATTTACATTAGGGAAACTATTCGGTATTCACACATGTGAGATTGATTTATTTCACTAATGAGTATGGTCTCAAGCTGCGCCCATTTATTGATAAATATCTCAATGTGATCCTTCTTTATAGCTGAATAATACTCCATTGTATAGAAATACCACAACTTTTTTATCCATTCCTCAGTTGATGGGCACTTGGGTTGTTTCCAAGATCTGGCGATTACAAATTGTGCTGCTATAAACATAGGTGCACATATATCACTGTGGTATGATGCTTTCAGTTCTTCTGGGAATATGCCTAGAAGTGGAATAGCTGGAATAAATGGGATTTCCAGTCCCAACTTTTTGAGAAATCTCCAGACAGATCTCCACAAAGGCTGTACCAGTCTACACTCCCACCAGCAGTGCAGGAGAGTTCCTTTTTCCCCACAGCCTCTCCAGCATTTGTTGTCGAGAACCAACTCTTTGATTCGTTGATTCTTTGGATTGTTTTCTTAGTCTCTATTGCATTGATTTCTGCTCTGATTTTTATAATTTCCTCTCTTCTTTTGGCTTTGGGCTTGACTTGCTCTTCTTTTTCTAGCTGTTTGAGGTGTAGCATCAAGTTATTTATTTGTATTCATTCTGTTTTCCTGATGTGGGATCTCAGTGCAATAAATTTTCCTCTCAGAACGGCTTTCATTGCATCCCACAGATTCCGGTAAGTTGTATCTGCATTTTCATTTTCTTTTAGGTATTGTTTAATTTCTTCTTTAATTTCTTCTATGACCCACTGATTACTCAAGAGTGTGTTATTTAGTTTCCATGTGTTTGCGGAATTTTTGCAGTATCCTTTGTCATTAATTTCTAATTTCAGAGCGCTATGATCCGATAGTATGCAAGGGATGATTTCAACTCTTTTGCATTTGCTTAAATATGTTCTGTGAGCTAATATATGGTCTATTTTAGAAAATGATCCATGTACTGCTGAGAAGAATGTGTATTCTGATGTTGTTGGGTGGAGCATTCTGTATATGTCTATCAAACCCATTTGTTCACAGGTGTGATTCAGTTCTGTTATTTCTTTGCTCATTTTCTGTCTGGTTGATCTGTCCCTTGGTGTCAGTGGTGTATTAAGGTCTCCTGTTACAATTGTGTTACTGATAATTTGAGTTTTCATTTCTGTTAATAATTGTTTTATATAACTGGGTGCTCTGGAGTTTGGTGCGTATATATTTAAGATAGTTATCTCTTCCTCTTGGAGTTTTCCCCTTACGAGTATGTAGTGACCTTCTTTGTCCTTTATGGTCATTGTTGGTTTAAAGTTCACGTTGTCTGCAAACAGAATGGCTACTCCTGCCTTTTTTTGGATTCCTGCTGCATGAAGAATTGTTTTCCATCCTTTGACTTTCAGTCTGTGAGTATCTTTCTGGGTTAGATGGGTTTCCTGTAAACAGCATATGGTTGGATTTTGTTTCTTGATCCATTCTGCTAGTCTGTTTCTTTTGATTGGTGCATTGAGACCATTTACATTAATGGTTATTACTGTTAAATGCTGGTTAATTGTAGGAATGTTATCTCTCTGCTGTTGCATCTTTATCTTTCTGTTCTGTTTAATTATTTGCTTTGCTTAGTGCTTTTTTCCTTTGTGTATCTAAACTGTCTTTCAATATTTTTTGCAGGGTTGGCTTGGTGTTCATGAAGTTCTTCAGCTGTTCTTTGTCATGGAAGTATCGTATTGCACCATCTATTTTGAATGATAGTTTTGCAGGATATATCAGTCTTGGATGGAAATCATTTTGCTTTAGGATCTGGAATACTTCACTCCATGCTCTTCTTGACTTTATCATTTGTGCTGAGAAGTCTGCTGTGATTCTGATAGGTTTTCCTTTATAAGTGATTTGTCTTTTCTCTCTGACAGCTTTTAATAATCTATTCTTGTGTTGGATTTCTGGGATGGTGATTATTATATGTCTGGGTGTAGTTTTATTTTGGTTATGACTGTTTGGAGTTCTATATGCTTCACTGATCCTGATGTCAGTTTCTGATCTCATGCTTGGGAAATTTTCAGCTATTACTTCTCTAAATATCCTCCTGGCATCCTTCATGTTGTCTCCCTCTCTTTCATTAATCCCTATCATTCTTATGTTATTCTTCTTTGCATCGTCTTGCAGTTGTTGAATTGTTGTTTCCTGGTTCCTTGTTATTTTCAAAAGATCTTTCCTTTCCTGTTCACTAGCTGCAATCCTGTCTTCAAGGTCTGAAATTCTATCTTCACTTTCATTAAGGCGGTTTTTACAACTTTCAGTGGAGTTTTTTATTTCCTGTATATCTCTGTGCATCTGCATTATGTATTCTGTTTGTTTCTTATATTGCTCGTCTAGGGATTCTATCTTTTTGTTTAGTTCCTCCAATTTTTTATCTGTCTTTTCTTTAGATATATTTAGAATCTCTTTCATTTCTTTTATCATTTCTTCTTTTATCTGGGAGATTATTTCGAGTTTGAATTTCTTTAAAGCTTCCTGGAGTTGCTTGTCAATTTCAGTGGCTATTGTGTCTGATATATGAGGTGGATGGGATATATTTTCTTCTATATACATTGCTCCTAGGGTTTCTTGAGATGGGCTGGAGCTTTGAGGTTGTAATTTGGTCTTTCGTTTTGTCATTTTCCTATATTTCTGTGTTTCAAGTGTTATTTGAAAGCTTCCTCAGGATCTGTTGAAAATCCCCTTCTATGTTTGGAGCTACTGAGACTCTGGCGCCGCGCTACCCCAAGCCATTAGGCCTCCAGAACCAGTGGCCCTCCTCTGCCTGCTCAGAACTCCGCAGTTCCAGACAAGCTGGGCCTCAGGGACACTGTGCGCCCACCTGCCCCTTGGAAGCTCCACAGTTCTTCAATCGCAGCCGGGTTAGGGTACTCACCACAGGCCGCAGTGCTTCAGGAACCTGTGGACCCTCCCTGGTTGCAGAGATATCCACAGTCCTCCAGACACGCAGAGAGGCCGATGCAGGCACCCCAAATCTGCCCAGCTCCTCCTCTGCAGACCTATGGCCAGGCGCGGCAGCTAAACAGGCTGGGCTAGGCTGGTAGTGTGGGCCAGCCCACCTATCGGGAGTTCAGCAGGTCTCCAAGTGAAGCCGGGAATGGGGAGGCTGATGTGGAAGCCTCAAACCCACCTCTCCCCTTCACTGCACCTGGAAGCCTGAGGGAACTCCAGCAGTCTGGGTGCAGATATCCAGAGTCCTCCAGACACGCAGAGAGGCCGGTGAGGGCACCCCAGATCTGCCCAGCTCCTCCTCTGCAGACCTATGGCCAGGCGCGGCTGCTAAACAGGCTGGGCTAGGCTGGTAGTGTGGGCCAGCCCACCTATCGGGAGCTCAGCAGGTCTCCAAGTGAAGCCGGGAATGGGGAGGCTGATGTGGAAGCCTCAAACCCACCTCTCTCCTTCACTGCACCTGGAAGCCTGAGTGAACTCCAGCAGTCTGGGCGCAGATATCCAGAGTCCTCCAGACACACATGGAGG